ATATATATATATATATATATATATATATATATATATATATATATATATATATATATATATATATATATATATGTAGCAGGCAGCTTATCTTAATTCTTTTTTCCAATTATTATTTGACTAAAGGATGTGTGCACCACAAATATTATCACCATCTAATTGGCCAAATATATTTGTCAAATGAGGTGATCAGAGTTACAGAAGCATCGAAATTACAAAAATCTCCTGAATACTAAATTTCCTCAAAAGTATGTCTCATATCATACGGAGTTTTCTTGTTATGCATTTCTTTTATACTTGTTTTCTTTTATACTTTTCTTCTTATACTTGTTCTTATACATACTTTCCTTGTTCTTATACTTTTATTATCTTCCTCGTAGTCCCGGAAGAATATACACCTTCTCTTCAGATCTTGAGTTAAAAAGTCAAATAAGCAAATCTAAAAATCAATAGACAATGCAAATGCTGTCATTCCAATTTGAAATATCAAAGTCTTGAAGCTACGATGAAATCCGTTAAATGAAGTAATCAAAGTCTTGAAGCTAAGATGAAATCCGTTAAATGAAGTAACCATCTATCACTGATTAGAAAATTATCGCAATTGAAACTGTTTCTGAGTGGAACTTGATATACTTTGTTGCAAATAGATAAGAATGTCAAAAATGATGTTTTTCTTTGCAATATCTGTGGCCAAAAGTTCCAAAGCAGTCTTTTTAGTTGAATTAGCTACGTTCTTTACGGTATAGAAATCATAGTCGAGAAATGTGCTAGAATATTTTCATAACTTATAAGTTTTTGCGTTAGTCTATAATGGATATACATCATGAGTGAATAGCACAGTTAGCTTTTTAAAAGAATGTGTAGAATATTGCTATTCTAAAGAATTGCCGCCTGTTTACAGTAATCAGAATGATCATTTTGAGCTTGCATATCAGCCTTTTTCACCAGGAAAAGCTAGGAATTTAAGAATTTAGAAAATAGCGTACATGTTATAATGTATTTAAAAACGAGTCGCTTTGCTAGAAAATCATTACAGATGGAGATGAAGAAATCTGAAGTGTTCCCTAACCGCTGACGGCAGTATGCTTGAAGCGAATTCTGCAATCATTCAAATTGATATTGATATTTCGAATTTGTTGATGCTGGATAAATCATTTAAACAATAAACAAATTTTGAATATAAATTTCAGCACACAAAACTTCTCAAATAATTGCTCAATTCAGATGTGAATCGATGAGTCCTTTTGAATTTCTTGCATAAGGTATACGGAATGAACATAGAGCATAACTCCCAATTGCAAACTTTAGTTTTAGGGAGGATTGAACAGTGAAATAGCACTACTGAAGCTTAAAATTCCAGTTAAGGTTTGTGACGATATAATGGGCATCATCATGATCTGCTGTCTGATAACAATTCTGAGAGACCATCAGCTATCCGGTATCTTACTATTCTTATCATTGTTATCTGATATCATGACCTGATGTCGCTGGGCATTATTTTGGATGTTTTGAAGCTTTACTTAGCAGGACATTTTCACTATAATTTCATCAAATTTGTCAGTTTTTCCTTTTCATTTCGAAAAATCATATATCGACCAATTGTATTACTCAAAAAACACCGGTACTTGTTTCTTAGCAATTATAGCGACCCTTAAGTCTATTTGCTGGAAGTCATTATCTTTTTGCTGCTTTTTAAAATTCATTATTTGCACCAAATACTTTTATTACATGATTCCATCAGAGACCACTAGCTATCCGGTGTTCTATCACTCTTGTCGCCCAATTGATCGGCTTAGGAAAATCTAAAATGAAAATAGATATGATCAATGGTATGATTTTGCAAACTGTGCATGTTTGCTAAAATCCGGAGACTTCTTCAGTGAATAAACCAATGTTATCCAATACCGGAAGAGTGGAAGTTTATATACGATGACTTCTTTGAATCTTCAGACATTTCTTTTTACCTTTTCACTTAAAATTGATTTTAGGCTGATCTCCGTTACTCTTTCCATTTAATGCTTTACAACTTCATGACAATATCAATGGTATTGTCCGGGAAAAATATTTTGTGTTCATGATGGCTTAACCACAAAAATTGAACGCCTTGATCAAATTATGCATATTAAAAATTAAATTATTATTTTTCCTTACTGCTTACATTATTAATTCATCGATAATGCGGTATTAGGGAAATTGTTATTTTAATTCTGCTGTATTAAAGACCGCTGCCGAAATAGGACAAAATAATTAAAACAATGACGACCAAATGTTGAGAGCAGAAAAATCAAATCGGAATCTGAGTGAATCTACTGATGACGAAATTGATAAGCTCAGCGAATTGGGTATCGACTTTGTAATACGGGTATCAGAAAATTCAAATTATTCTAATTGGATCGAATAGGAACGCACTTCGTTACCTCGTTGTTGAGGGAATCATCGAAAACGATGAAGGGAAGAATAAGTATTGTACTCTAACGAGTAACAAACAATATCAAAATGATTTCCGAACCATGCTTTGAACTTCAAAAATTCCGTCGTAATACCGTCCAGGCTTTCGCTGGTCTATTCACAAGCAGATCTCACTCAAGGTTATGCAAATTATCAAGTCAAATTAAAGCAACAAAAAGCTATTTATGTCGTATTGGTCGTATGACAACACTTTATTACCACCGTCACACAAATCTTCCAACTCGACCACTTTGTTCACAACAAAATCTTGTTTCAAATTATAACTGTAATGGCTCGTAGAGCAACGCACACTCACCATTCATCCGGGCAAATTCTTGTAATCTACAACAATCAAATTTCTAGAGATCTGAATTACTCGAGACATCGTTTATCAAATTCCATCCATGCAGATTCAGCAACCGCGACTACCTCGTCTCATGCCCATTCCTCCAATATCAATTAAACAACCATGAAAACTCCGAAGTTAGTGAACCATCCACCCGCCTAACTCTGGTACTTCTGCGCACTAAATAACATCTGAAAACGAAATCAGTTACGAATTTTTAAAATGTCTCATCACTAACCCACCGATTTTGGGCCTTTGGTTCCACTTTGTAAATGCATTTCAGACACTTTATCCGATAATTTTCACATTTCTTAGTCAATCATCATCCACCAACAAGCTATATTTGACCCATTAATTCATAAAAATGCATTTCAAAGCAATGATGTTCAAGTAAAATTAAATTTATGGACATAAAAAATTTACGAATACAACAATAATGAAAACAAATGATAAAAAGTCACATGAGAATCAACATATTATGTACAGAGGGACAAGAAAACATTACAGTTAATTACCCGAAAGACATATATATTTTCAGTTCCATTCAAGCAAAACAAACAACAAATATGACTACACCTGGGAAAAGAATTTCAGAATTTTTTCCAGAAACCTCTCTTTGAATTTCAAGATTCTCGAGAAACTTAGTTTTGGTTTTTCTCCTCAAGTTGAAGATGTTTGAAAAAATCATTTCGTCCTTAAGAAAAAAAAAACCAACACTCTCTCTCAAGCTCGACACTAAAAACAGAAAAGGTTCAAAAGAGCATAAGTCAGTAAGGAACCATGTAAAAGCTAAACCCACTGATAAGAAACTACTGTTCACAATAAAAAAAAATGAACGTAACGAAGAAACCTACGAGAATAAATATTGGCAAATTGAAATTAGTCTTTCCTTGGAATAAAACTTGACTAGAATGACTTATTTGAACTGAAACATCTTTAGAACTCCTACAAATATATTTGTTCCTGTTTTTGCTTCAATTTCTAAAACTGAAAACGAAGACAATGAGGTTTCTTATTCAGTCGATATCGCAGAATAATCCCCGTAATTATATACATTTATTCGTCTCTAACGCCGGACTTTAACAGGCGAAGGACTTTCACTACTTCGCCTTCTCTTACCCAAAGCCAAATAAACATCTTTTTCACGCTCACGCTGATTGTTCACTCTGTCCTGAAAAATAAAACAAAGGATTTTATCCACAAGATAGAAAAAATTTGAAATGAAGAACACTTACAGTTGTGTCGTGTCTTTCCAGAATTAGTATCATTTAGACTGGTTAGTGACTAATATAACGTTTTAATCTAACTTAAGTTTTCAGTCACTGCCATAATAATTCACTGCACTTTAAAGAAATGTTATAAGAATGATTCTAATTAGCACTTTGGTCGTTTTCTTCTTCCTTTTCCTACTCAGATTACCACCGTGGAGTCCAGACGTCCTTTCTGTCACAATCCAAATTATTCTCATAAAAAAGAAATAATTAACTCGAGCATATCAAAGTCAAAATTCGCATCAAAAGCTTTTAAAAAGTATTTGAAGCACTTGACGAAGCACTTATTTAGCATTTTCAAAAAGAAAAACTATCTTCTATAACCCACATTACAAATAACCTCAACCAACCTTCTCAACAACCTTGCGCCGACCATCTCGACTTCTGGTTCGATGACGCCGATCTTTTTCCGCCCGCCGTTCTTCCCTTGCTCGTCGTCTTTCATCTCTCTGATGCCTTGAATGATGATGGTTATGCTTTGATGGTCGATCACGTTCCGTCGATTCCGCCCGATGGTGATAACAGATGATTGAAGAGCGGAATCTGGAAATTTGATTCAAATTTTATATGAATATAAAATTGATAAATAGTGCCCAGAATTCCATTCACAACTCAAATTTCCTAGGAATAATTTCCTCAGTAAAAATGACTCACTTTTTGGGCTCAATCGGTGATTTTGAGTGTGACCGTGAGGCAGAAGACGATGTTTGCTTAGCATTGTGATGGTCATTTTCCTTTTCCCTATCACGCTGAACTTCTTTTTCCTTCCCACTTCCTAAAATACTGCCATAAACCAAGAATGTGAAAAAACTGGAATTGAACTAAACATAACTAAAGATCAAAGAGTAGCGCATAAGGCAGTCCTCAAAATACTCGAACATTTGCGGTATAATATATTCAAAACACGTCAACCGCACTAAAAACAACTTAATAATATTGCACCAACCTTCCCTAGTCTTACTTCTAGCACCATTCTGCCGCTCCATTTCAGCAGCTTTACTAGCGATTTCGCGACGTCTTTTCTCCAAAATAGCTTTTGCTCGTTCGACTTCTTTACTTGCTATGCTTTCCGCTTGCTGAGCTTTTGCAAATGTATTGCTGAGACCAATTCGTAGTTTGTTCAGTGTATCATTCAACCGTGTCCAGTTTGGCGCCTGAAATTGTAAAACTTCAATAAACTCTAATTCCACCAAGAAATGACGGAAGATCATTTGCAATGATATGGAACAGATTTTTTTAAAAATTTGAAGATATGTATAAATACAGCCATTACTCACCCGTATTCGAGCATAAACCTGCAGAAGTAAAACTGAGATCGTATGTACATCCCTGTCACTTGCATCAAATGCTTCAAACCAAGGAAAGGGTTCGCGCGGAAGCGGTAGGGGTTCCTAAAAATGTCACAATTTTAAGCAAGAATTTCGGAAAAATATCAAACTGAAAAGATGCAGACTTGACAACTTACTGCTATAGTTCTTGCTGCAAGATGAATGCAGGCGCATGCAATTGTTTCCGGCCGATACCTAAGAAATATATCTGTACGTAACCCATCATTCATATAACTCCTGAAATTAACAGTTGACGCAGGACCAAAAAATGAATCAGTAAGTATTCCGGAAGTTTGAAAGTGTGTAGCAGCGAAATTTGTTCGGAAAGTTCCTGTAGGGAAGATGGGAATGAGTGGAATTTTTAGAAATTGCCGTTTTTAACTGTATAGGAACTGCTCACGCACAACACATCAAGACCGGTTTTTTGTGCATCGTAAATCTATAACATCTCTTAAAAACAAACACAGGATTGACCATTTTACGCAGTAGTTCATAAAAGCACGTTGTCTGTTTTTTAAATGTTACACAAACAATTGTGACATAGTATTTACCACGCTTTTTGCATGAGTTCATGATTGCCAGTAGCGCCCAGTGCATGAAGATATGCGTATATAAGTTTGTGAGGATGATTGACGTGTACTACAAAACCGAGCGCATTTAACAGCTTCCTTTCCGCTTTTATCACCTGATTCTTCAAATCTACATAGCTTCGATCCAAAAGCATTGGAACATATCTATAAATAAGCAGTTATCCAAATACTGGCTCCAATGCCTAATGAATTCCTATGAACGGCAATTATATTTTGAACAACCTCACTGTTGCATGTTCTTACGAACGTAAGTCCGATTTGAGCGTCTGTAAGCATCGTCAGTAATGCCTACACCACCCCAAATAAGTGAATAATTTAAAGACACCACACATCCTCTCGGTGCAACTCTGAAAACTGAACAACATAAACAAGCAACTGACCTTTTCCTTCCTCTCAAATAATTTTCAGTAAACCACTGCTTCCTATATAATTATGTTAGATTAGTCCATATTAACAGAACGTAACCACAATAGGCACCTCATCTGCTTTCTGTACTTTGTCAAGAGTTGGCAGAACTTGGAAAATACCCAAACACGATGTAATCAAACTAGAAATGGTTTGAACAAACAAAAACAACTTAAACACATATACATGCCTAGGAAGTGAATAAAGCTATCTTCACATCGTCGTCACAAGATGTAAAGAGAGTTATAAAAGTTTTACATCAACTCACCATTCGCAACTCATCATTAGTGATAATGTTAAACACCATACAGAGCCCATGCATATCCAGCCATTTATCAGGCCATGGAAAGAAAACACGAATGACAGTAATCGACACATCTTTTGAAAAAATCCAAGCAGGGTGACTTTGAAAAAGTAAACAAGTGTAGCCTGAGTGCGACTTACAAAGCACAAACGTCGGATGGCGGGAAACAAAAGAACAAGAGCACTGCAAATGAAAAAAGTAGACAAATCGCTATGTAAGGAGGACAATTTCGTTATATACAGAGAAAATACAAGTGTTAGATTGGGATTATTTAGGATGTAGAAATCATGTTTACTTCAAAGACAGTTCATATTGATGCTCAGAAACAAATGACAGGAAGGATGAAAGAACATTTGTGGGATAATATTCGCAAATATATCCTTCTTACTCTACTAAAAAATAAAAATTTTATGGTCTAAAATACTGAGAAAGCTTCCAAATACGTAGTATTTACCTACAATTACAAGTGCTAAAACTGGCTACCAAACAGTTTAACCAACAAGTATTACGTCTCGTTTTTTTTTCAGTTGAAGAGCAAACTCGTAACAACTGTTAACAATCATACTCTTTAACATAACATAGAGATTTTCTTCAATAAAATTAGAGAAAATTTCTAGCACAAGTATGCTATAGTTTCAAAATAACATCCAACATAATCCAGTCATACCTCAACCATTAAGACCTAATAAGTCAAAATTTTTTATAAAAACAGCACAACGAAGGATCCTACAAGTCAGTGAACTAAAATAGATGGTGAATGGTACTTTCATCCTTACCTTCATTGTTCACTAAATAATCAGCAGTCACAAATACGGCACAATAAAGTCCACACAAAATGAACGGCCAAACCATTCATCCTTAATGCACTAAAACATGGAGCATTTCAGTTAAATTTAAAAAAAAAAAAAAGAAATACATTCACAAGCAACATGTATGCTGCTTGGACGACTTTTTTCCCAAACTCGGAAATCTTGTCAGTAGTGCGGAAGTCCGACTAAAAGATGAATCATCAAATCATGAAAATACCACTTTTTGCCGATCCTACAATAATAGATTTACTTACCTTTTCTCTCTCACAACCTCTGGAGCTGATACATACCTGAATACACTTGACTTAGACCAATAACGATGCTTTATTATTATTATTCCAAATAAAAGAGAACTGCTTTTAGCCTGCTTTCATCTGACATTTAATGAATTCTCATGCATCTCCTTTCCAAATGCAATCGAGCAATTGGTGTTAAATTAACTTACCTGTACGTATGTGAGAAAAGTTCAATCGCTTCAGCCCAACACTGCTGCGACAAATAAACCAATATGCAAAAGAATTTTTTCATCACCAAATGAACATCACCAGAATCTACAGGAAACCGGAATCTTTCCCAATTTGACTTTAATGTTTGATTGAAAGCAACGTAATTGTAACTGAACCAAGTAAGGGAGATATCATAGCAACCAAATTATTATCAATACTTTTCCGCCAACTCTTGACATCCAATAACAGAATACAGAAAAGCAAACCTTTCTTTTCGAAGGAAGGAATGAACAGATTGCTATGATTTTCGATAAACGGATAATCCTACCAGAATTTTTTGTTGAAAATGGATAAACAATAGTCTACAGAGGAATTATATAAACATTCGCGAAATATTCCAGAGAGACGCATTAAAAATAACAGAACAAAAAAAGAAATTCCTGGGGAAAAGACATATCTCATATTTTCCGGGGAATGCCCGGAAGAATTCATGCTGCTACCCTGTAATCAAGCGAAAAAGTGGACCAAAGCAAAGGAAGCAAACAGTTTCCCATTTATAAAACTCTATACTGCCAGTGTTTATAGCACCAAGTTAATTTATAGCTAGATCATGTTCAAAATTTTTTGACAACAAGGAAAAAATTCGAATATTTCGCGACTGCAAATAAAAATAAGCAGTAGCCGTTACCATGGTTTACTGAAAATAATTTGATTAGGAAGGCAGCAGTTGCTTGTACCATCGTCCACTCCGTGTGCCATCAACGTGCATCAGAACAGCAACGTGCAGAGAGCTGCACTGCATGCGTATAACGACAGTATCGATAGAGTGTGCATATATGCCGACTCCATATTGATAAGTAGGTTTTGATAACACACACAGAGAATCAGTAAAAGACGAAATCCAACTTGAAGAGAGCTCCAAATGTGCTTCATTCATCTCTGTAGAATGGATGGATGTGGTGACCGTACAAAAGAGTGGGGGCACACGCATTTTTAACTGCCATACGTGTATCCGCTCTGCCAGCTCTGTGTCACCTGGAGTGATTAAAAATATGATCAAATGTATTTCATAATTTTACAGTAACCCACCGTTAGTTCTGTCTTTTCCATTAAAAATGCAAAAAAGAAAAAAACTAGGTAAGACCAGTCGAAAAATCCCTTTCCTCTTCTTCCCTTAAGGTAAATGGATGGCATGAAAGTAATATACGGTATTTGTTTAACATGCGATTAAGATCACTATTAGAATCTCTGAAACCTACTATTCCCAATTCTATTGCACCAAAAAAGTGCACGCAGCAAACCAAAACCAGGAAATAATCCCCAGCACAACCATAAGGAAAAAGAATACGCTACTCTCCTGTTAAATGACAGTGGATGTCAATGACTTCAATTGTTTTGCGATAAATACTAGATTTTTTTTCGTCTAACAGAGTCATAAGATTATACGTCTTTATCAGAATGAGTCTAAAAAAGTGACAAATGATCTCTTAGATGCACAACTGATCTGTGCTACCAGTCAAAAAGGTCTCAACGTCAGAAGTATCTAAATATATGAGTTTCAGAACGACGAAAAAACCGCCGCCTGAAATAAGTGTCAAAAACGAAATTTTGCATAAGCATGCAAAAGAACATCCAAATCGATAATAATTAGTTTGTACTTATTCCATTTCTTTTTACAAAACAGTGAGAAAACAAACGAAGGTCACATGAAACAGCGATTTGAATGTGCAAACGTGACGATGCCTACAGAACAGCAAAAATACGAACTTGTTGCCGACTAATTAAAAAGCCGACATATTTCAAAAATAATGCTGAGGGAACTTTAAATAACCTCAGAAGTACCATCCTTTGTGTCAACAATGTCCATTGCATATCCTATCGCTCCCTCTCTTAAACGCGTAAATCCTGTATAACCATGCACATTTTATAAGTAACAGATTATAATTAAACTTACTTTTTGGATTCATTTCGTTTGCCATGTAAATGTTCCAAACGATGGAACACATTGATGACATCACGCGGTCGACGTGGCGCCTCCTCAATTTTGCTCGCTAATAAAAGGCATGCCATTACCGTATACTAAACTTTTTATCATTACTACGAATGAAATAGCGCAGACCGTAAAAAATTAGTGAAAAAAACCTGACAATTCTAACGCACATCCAATCTGAATAGAATGCTGTTCTGTCCTTACATGAAACAAATGAAAATGTCGTCCTACGAATACATGCAGCTCACCCCCTTTATTACTCTCTTCACACCTCACACATAATTCCGTTAAAAATTCAACGTTTCGATGATAGACGTCTATACTAATTGGTAGCAATACAGTGGCTTAAAGTTAAATAGCTTCGGCAGCCAAAACTGAACCAGTGTAATGCTACAAACTAGATGAAGTTAACACATAAAGGTAAAAATTGCAACAAAGAGAAGCATGATTTTGCACATGGAGAAAATTTGAAGATGCACATATCGCCTGATAATCAAAATTTCACTTAACGATGAGAAACAAGAATTTGTTCTTGATAATAACCCGTAGTAAGCGATGCCAATGTTCAAATCGACAACAAAACCATCTCTCCACATGGAATTTGTGTAAAAGTTTGAGTCAGTGTTATATAATTGAATGATTTTAAAAAGAAAACATCTCAGGAGGAAATTTAAAACATACTTCAAAATGATGTCGAACAAACGATCTCTGATAATAAAATCGTTGGTAAAGAATCTGTGCTGTTGCTGCTGCAACCTGAGGTATACGGAGCAGTATCGCACCTGACTGAATTATTTCACAACCAAGATATCGCAAATCCTAGAAAAGAAAACACTAGTTTCACTATTTCATAATAAACTGAACAACTTGACTACAAATCCATATAATAGAATATTAGCAATAAATTACATACCAGTTCGGTTTTTCGATCTAATCCATCAGCCAAAGAAGGAGGATTCCCCAACTTAGCTACTGAATGCTCATCCAGTGTGAGAAGCCATTTATCTGCTGATATATTGATTGATGAGAATAGTCTGGAATGAAAAAAGAAATCCTTCAGATATTTGCTAATCAAAAAACTCAAAAAAAGCAAGGGTTGGATATGTCGGCAAATTTACCTTTTTGTCCAAAACTGCTCAGCTTTATCTTTGATCCGATATCATCCACTATTAATTGTTCTTCCTTAACATCTTTTGCGTCCGTGATAGACGAGTTTAAGTTGGTTTTTCGCTGCAAATGTTCACCAGAATTCCTTGAAGATGATTTTGGAACTAGCGTTACCATGCTGTTTTTCATCATATCTATAACAGTAAAGAAACTGACACTAAGTGACTAAGCTGCTCGTAGCATCTGATAAGTTCTGTGCGCAGAAAAAAATATGCCTAACATGAAGAACAGTAGACGTTAAACTTCTGGGATAAAGGATAAAAGAGATGAAAAGAGACAACACACAGCAAAGAAGTAAGCAAATCCACCGTTGCAAACAACGGCGATTTTACGAATCCACGAAGTAAAATCTCTTAAAAATGTTTGCCAGATCATCACGACGGTAGTATGAGCCATCCCAGCAGGTAAACATCTTTCCCGAATCATTGCCCTTCCTCAGCCTCCCAGATAAACATTCAGATATGATGACGCAAACAATTCAAGCGAGACTTCAACAAAAAAGACAAAGACAGATTGATGATAACTTCTGAAGGATCACTCTCTCTACCGGGATGAACTAGTATTCAAATGTTCAGGAATCACTAATGCGCTAATCAATTGATAAGCTCAAATCCCGAACACCACGGGTGACTCTCAAATCCCAAGGATTACGCAGACAAACCCCAACCAAATAACGCAAAACGGACCGCACGAGAAACCAACAGTCAATCGATCGATGAGTGCGCTGCGACCGACAAGCTTTCTGCGTATCGAACTTGATGTCATAGGAAGGGAAGAAAGGCGCGATTTTTAAAAGTTGGGAATTGATAATGTTCTAGTTACTATGGATACAAATCATCTTATGTTAAATATTAAAGGATCATCTTAGCAGTTAGATTATCAACAACTAATTACTCCGTTCTTGTACCTATATTTAACGGTTCCGGACCATTCCCCCGTTCTCCCTCGGTTTAAATGGAAGTTAAAGCTTAACTTTTGTTTTTCTTTTTTTAAATTGTGACTTTACCTATCGTTTGTGTGTAATTAAAGTTTTACCTCAAAGTTAATATTAAAATGTTGAAAATTTTTTAGCAATGTTTGAAGATAAATCTCAAATAAGTAATACTAACGAATGGTATCAAAAAGTACAAATGTGTCGGCGTGTGCCACCACGACTTTCACCGATCGACAGATACGATAAACCGGAATGCTATGCGTTGTCCTTACGAAATGCACAACTTCCTGGTGTAACTATTCCTCTCACAAATACTTGGGGATCATACTTGAAATACCGGGAGAAGTAATAAAATACACCGGAAAAAATGTCACCATAAATTTCTACTTATCTACACAACTTTTTCGTTGTTTTGCAGTTAAAAATGGACATGTCATATCGCATCCATGCCTATTTCTACGATAAACAGCGGAAGTATTATTTCGGGAAACCGTTTTGCGGGAGATGGTGCCGTTCTGGTTCTGATTCCATACTTTTTACTGAGGTAGTTCATTTTTCCGCTTAACGATATGTGTGTATGTGTGCGCGTCAAAGTTCCTTTTTAATTTACTGTAATCAGATCGGCCAACTGCACCTGCAAATTTTCGGTTTAAATATAAAATTTAAGAATTGAGGAATTGAAGTGCAGTTGATGTTGAATTTCCTGCCAATCTTAATGAAATGTATGAAAAGCTGAAAAGCTGTAGGTAATCTTCTTCTGGTGCCCATTTACCGATAATATTGACATTGTCATGGAATTGGTCGAGGGAGAGCAGAAAGGAGAAAACTGGAGTCGTCTATACACAGCGGCATGGACTTTGTTATCGTTGGGAAATGAGGAAAATTCGACTGCCTTCCACAGGTGCTATGAATATTTCATTTATTTACATGCCATCATTTTTGAATCATTTCGTCAAAACTTCTTCCTTACTACATCACATTTACTGTTAAAGCTAAGCGCTATACTAAGGTTGGCCAATTTTTGTGAACAAGTTTTTCCAGACTGCCACTGTATCCGGGGTCTCCAAAAGCGTTATTTTTCATGGCTTCTGAGGTGGAAATGGCAGAACTTTCTCGAAGGGCAAATATCGGTCTAGAAATTTGCTTACAAACATATCAAAAAATGTATGATGTATTGGACTTCATTCCTGAATGGTACATGTTTGACCAATGGGAAGATATTCCTGGATTGCAAACATCTTATGATGGTTAGATTCAGTGCGAAGTTTGCTTCTCTATACTTCGTAGTTTCTTTCGAATTCAAGTTTGTTGGAAAAAGGCAGCTTTAATTATGGAAATCTTCAGACGAATCTCAAGCCGCTCTTCCAGAGGCCCTGAAAGGTCGAACGTTCCTTCTAAGCGAGATAAATTTATCATTCGGCATGGATGTCTACAAATTTGAGCAAATCCTACTTCATTTGATGAATAATGACAGACTTTACCGAGCAAACAGGTCACCGGCAGACATCAATGTTAAGATGATGGAGGTTCTCGAACGAAGAATCACGGTATATTTCGTATTTTCTTCTTTCGGCGATTTCCTAATGTTAGTCCGAAGCTAGTGATGCTGGTTTTCCTTCTAAAAATTCAGTTACTTTTCGGTGAGCACCGTTTGAATTGCTTCAAGATTTTTCAGTTTTGAAAATTCAAAACTGTTTAGATTGGGGTGCATAATGGTCTGTGCTATGTCGAGAAGCCGCAGTGTTTGCATCTTAGTTCGACGGAAAATCAAATTTGCAGCACCTCAAAAATGAGACGGAATAAACTGACGACAAAATCAAATTTAACGTAAATTTCTGTATAGCTTTAAATTACCACATACAATAATTTTCTTTCTGTGGGACACGAAAATTGTCAAGATTTCAGATCGCAGTCTCGGAGTTTGTTCATGAATGGGAGTGTGATCTTAAATAGAATGATTGCAGATCCTCATTTTGCTATCACCTTCTCATTGGACTATCTCGTTGGAGTTTATTCTTGTGATGTTAGTACTTGTCGTTGAAGTTACAATATGAACTTTGGTAACTGGCATATGACAGCGATAACTTCCCATTTCACTTCACTAATCACCTCTAGGTCAATCTCATTTCCAGGGTACAGTACATTCATCGCAGTCGGTGATGGTCTGCTGGGGTGCTTGGTGTCCGTTTGCTGTAGATATCGTGCCGGATGGCGAGATTACTGTACCTTTAGTCGGAGGTATTATTTGTTCAATTTTATTATTCTGTGTTTTCATTTTTTCAATAAATTCATTACATTTATTGTACAAATGAACATGTTAGTGAAGTCCCTCATTTCCCACTTTCACACCAAATAATGATTCTCAGGGATATTTTTCCTTTCTCGTCAGTGAGTTGTCTTCCTTTTTTCAAAAACTTCAACAGTGTCTGCTTAGGACCAAATATCAATCCAGATGAACGTCTGGCGTTCAAAAACTCGCTTGCGTTTCGTTCTGATTTGCCCTTTTGCAACCAGTTGCCAAGGACTGAAATTACCTTTATGTGTTCAGGACTTGGAGAGGTTAGAATTCATGCTGATTATGTTTAGCTTTTTTCCTGAATAATTTTATTGGAATCGTGAGCATGGTAATTCATCAAGATTTCGAGATTCATAAAAGCAATGTCCGGGCCTAATCATTAGTTTGCATAACGATGTGCGGTTAATCATTTCTTTCATTATCACAGTGAGCTTCTGATTATTAAGTAATAACTTGAATATACAATTTTTGAAATGTGGCGTAAATCATTTATTTAAAAAAGTATTCGCTGCACAGTTTCTTCAACTGAAATTTCCCAGGTTGGACAACTGCTAAATACTTCATCACGCATCAACAATGAGCCGAATATGGAAACTATCAGACATCAAGTTAACTCAACTAATGCTGCTCAAAATTCTGAACGAGTATGCGAAAATAGGTTTGCAATATGTTTATTCACTTTTGTATTATTTATAATGAGCCTGTAACTTGTTGAAGTGATTTTATCCTTTTGGAACAAAAAAGATAGAATAATTTGAAAAATCCATCTCACTGAATGATTACCTGAAAAATCCCTTATCCAATTTTCTTATTGCAGGCACGAAAACAAGTCGTTGTCGTTCTTATTACTGGTAACCATTTGGTAGATCTTGAAATAGCCTAGATATTTAATATAACGTAATGTACTTATTGTTTACAGTAATTACAAAGTGTGCCATCTACTAGTGTGCAGACAACTGTTAGTATATGTAACAATGTTAACCAAACTGTACTTCAGGAAGAAAAATTTGTTGGAAAAGTTTCCTCCAATGATGAGCGGGAATGTGACACTGATACGAGCGTGAAAATTTATAGCCTGCCATTAGTGAGGTAAAATGTATTGGTGTTTTTTGCTTAAAATCTTATTAGAATTTTACGAAAACTTTTGGAACTGCCACTCTGATATCTTTCAGCGCAGCGAACATATCTCGTGCACCTCTTACTGTCTTTGCCGACATTCCATTCACTCCTATAAAAGATCGTAACGGAAACAAACCGAAAGTTGTTGACATTGAAAATTTCCCGGTAGATTTATTGAATTTTTGCAAATCAAAAGTCCAGTGAAAATCAAATTTTCTATCAATTTTTTAAAAGTTTATTTTCTGCAAGATAGTGATACTTTGTTTACATACAGAACGACATTAATGCTAGGGAAACAATAAATCGTATGATAATTGTATTGGACTGCATGAAACATTCAATCGCTTTTTGTTATAGGCTCCAGACACCAATATTGAATTGAACGATAAACTGAATACGAATGAAACCATTATACAGTTTCTGGCCATTAAAATCAGGTTCTCACTAATGCCATACATCAGAAATCTCCCTTTATTAACTTACACCCAATGGCGCAGTAGTGGTAAAATATTAAATTAAAATCAATTAATTCAATTCTTATGCACGGATTCATTAAACTTTCCGAATATTTTAGCTGTGGAGAAAATGATTACATTAAGACACCAACTGCAGTATTCTTTACAATTGACTTCTATCGCTTCTATACAGTTACAACTGAAAGGTTTGTTAATTTCTCGTTTGAAAATATTTTCAAATTTAAGGATTAGTAGTTTACAATAAATATAGCTAATATAATTTGATTCCAAAAATGAATTTATGAATGTAAATTCAGGAAAGATTGTCTTTTCAAATAACAATTAATTCTAATTTGTAGATTGTGGTTGGATATAGTTCACGCAAAGACAAGCCTTCGCGAACAGTTATTCGTTTTGAATCGCAGAGGAAACATTGACGAGATCGCCAAGGAAGACTGCAATGGCTTCACTGTGAACAATTATTTTTGCTTGTGGAAATTTGGAACGAATAGTTTATGAGTCGCAAAAAGGTATTAATATTTGAAATTTCAGGTGAGATATATGGTTGATGGGAATTCGCTTGCAGATGGGGACAAGGAGGATTACATCGATTATCTTTCAAATGGTC